AGTAGAAGCCCTATAGTAATGGACTAAGAGCTGAATGGTGTATAAACCTGACACCCCTGTTTTGTTCACATGTTTGGATCCAGGGCTATCTCCCTGAGAAGATGACTGTTGCTTCTCTTGTGTGACAGCGGCATAAAGAAAGCAAGGTAGACAGTTTAGGTGGAGAAACAAAATGGATTGTACATATGAAGACTTTTTTTGGCTCTGCTTTTGAACCAACGACATAATGAAAATAAGCCGCTGTTGCAGATGAAATAGAATAGACAAGAGCAATTCTGCAATTATGCTGAAGCTGCCAGGATCTAATAGCTGGGGCAGAATAAAATTAAAAGAGCAAGTAGATACACACAGTTTGAGTTAGTAGGACAATTCCTCCTTGTGAAATCCAGCAAGTGTTTGATGTGAGAATAACTCATCTACTTCCTTATGGTGTAATAATTTAGAAGGAATCACAGAGGATATCAGCAAAGATTTTACAAGAAGTAAAAAACAGGAAAGAAAGTAATATAAAAATAATCAGTGACCGCTAAATAATTCCAGAAAAAAAATGCACTACAGAATGAAAGAAAATGACTTCTTATAAAGTTTCATTAGATGGTTTTATCTATTAAGTATGATCTCAAAATAGAGATAAGAGAACTTAGGAAAAAGCAGTACAGTGTAGGAAAGAAGTGCAGGAAAATGATTTTCTCACAAAAACAAAGCCACACTGGAAATAGTGCAAGGAAAATAAACATTGCTAAGAGCTAGGGAAACATGAAGGGCAAGATTGAGGTAAGCTAGAAAATGTTTTAAAAGGATATCAAATATCAGCATAACTAGTACCAATAAGTAAGATAAACAAAATATCAGGAGAAATTTTATGTAAAAGCTTTATTAAAGTTTTCATGAATATAAAGATTGAAAATCAGATTAGAAAAATTAACTCATGATAACCAATGATATGCTATAGCCTAGAAAAGATACTGATTTACTAAGATAAAGTATATTTTGGAAACTTAGGAAAAGGAAAAATGTTCAGTGAACCTTCATAGGAAAAAAAAATTCAGCTCATATTAGCTTTTTCCACAGCAACATTATATGACAATGAACTAATGCCTATAAAATCCTCACAGAAAACATTGTAGCACAAGAATGTCATATACAACCAAAATAAGGCAGGCTGGGTATAAGATTTTAAACATGAAAAAAACTCAAGAATTATGATTTCCTTTTTAGATTGTCAGAAAGTAAACTTTAGGTAAGCAAGAAATGAATGGTAGTGTGCACTGAATTTAAATGTAAGAAAAAGAAATGAAAGAGTAAGGATTACTATAACAGAGTTGAATGCAAGTATTATAAACACCCTTAGTATAGAAATGATAAAACTTAAAATGAGTGTTAATAACATAAAGGATAATGAGGCAAAAATTGTTTTTTTCATTATTAAAATGTAGGAGTTAGGAAGTAATCAATTACAAGTAATAAGTAAAATCAAGGCGTTAACAAGGGATTCACTAAGTAATTTAATCAATTAAAATCAAGTGGGTAATCAGGGAGGAGAGAACATTAGAAATAAATTAATTTTATCTTTGCTCATAGTTGAGAACCAACAGGCTCAAATTAAAGTTTTAAGGAACAAATGTAGTACAAAAGTGATAGTTATCTTAATCAGAATTTCAACAGTATTACAAAACTTTCATATTTAATAAACAAACAAACATACCATACACACATACACACACACAGAGAAAGTAAGAGGGAAAATACCAAGTAATAAAGAGCTTAAAAGTAGCAACATTAACACAAAGGTATAACAAATATAGTGACAAAACTAAAACCAAATCTTTTATTTAAATAAATAAAAAATGGATTCAACTCAATTACAAGGTGAAAGGAATCTGGTTAAATTATGAATAAAACAGTGATATATTACACATTGGAGACATTATAATACAAAATACTTCAAAACATTTAAAAATGGGGAAGAAAGCACACCAGGAAAACATGAAACAGTAACAACACAAATTAGGAGTTGGGGATCTTAATTCATACTACTTTGAGTTTCAGGCTTGAAAGTACTCAATGTGATTGTTTTTTAGAGCATCATATAATGAGAAAGTTTATGACTCATACTGGAGATAAACTAATTACCAAAATCTATAGAATTAAAAACTTTAGCCCCAGGTTCTCCCTGGTGGTGCAACGGGTTAAAGTACCGCATTATGAAGCTCTCGAAGCCACTGCAGCACAAGTTAGATCACCAGAGAGGTCTGCATAGCATGGCAGACCTCTCCTGACCCAGCCACTGCTCCCCTCAGCAGTGTACTTGTCAATCTGCCTGTTCTACTCCCCACAATCTGTCTCTGGAGAATCCTCTCACCCACTACACCTCTGGCCTTGTACTCCAGTTCTAAAAGCATTATTAAATGAATCTTAAAAAAAAAAAAACTTTAGCCCCAATATGTCTATCTCTTAGTATGTAAGCCTTCCATAAATCCCCTCACTTGAAGATGAAAAATTAAGGGAGGATTAGGGTTGAAGCTCTAAATAAGACGGGCTGATTCTGTGCCTAATATGCTGAAGGAATTTTACAGTAATGAAAGTTAGTATTTAGTTAATTTCGAGTCCCTCAAAGGAATATTAACCCACTGAGCCTGACATAAACCTCTAAGTCCTTGAGGTCAAAGGCAGAATCACTTATTGGTCATACAGAAGGTCTCTACAGAGGACCAAGCTACAAGGAACTCCACACAGCACCTAGAATCGAGAGATGCCCTCACACAGGCCAACAAAACAGGCCCCTCATCTTGGTTACAGCTCCAAGGAATCAAATATTGTCCCTGTAAGGGACTTGGATGAGGACCCCACCTCAAATGACACAGCAGTTCCTGCCAATGCTGACTCCAGTCATTTGTGACCCTGGCCATGGCCTGACCTTCTGACCCACAGAAACAATCTAATGACAAATGACTATTTTTTAAACTATAAAGTTTGAGGCAATTTGTTGCACTGTGACAAAAAAAAATTAATCCAATCTACATACCATATAACATAGTACCATTGAAATTGATAAAGCAAAACAAATCTATGGGGACATTATTGGTTTGCATACTAATTAAAAAATATTATTTTCAGCATTAATAGTCTCAAGACTTGGTTGAATACATCTCTATCAGCATGACATCAAAGCGTCCTAAATTAATCAGAACTACAGGATATAGAGAAAGATGTAAGTGTGCGTATATGTATATATGTATGTGTACAAAAGAGAAAGGTACTCAAACATTAATCTTTTTCCATCACCACAAAAAGTATCTTTTTTAATAGCCACAAAATATAGTCATAAAAGATAAATTTTTTATAAAATTCTGTATAAATTCTGAATGTAGAAATATCCTCTATTACAATAAAACAAATAGAAAATAATAATGAACTAATAAACAAAAAAGCCATTGAAACTGTTCTAACTTAAATAATTGTCGGATTAAAGAGGAGATTAATTCAGAAATTACAGATTATTGGCAATATTGTGTATCAAAACCTGTAACATGCAGTCAAATGGGTACTGAGAAAAAAAATCCATCTCAGCTATTTAGAATAATAACCAAGGAATAGTGAAAATAATTGAATCAAATATCCAAAGTAAGTAATTAGAAAATGAGCAACAAAATAAATCCAACGAAAGCAGTATGAAAAAAAAGCATACATAAAGACAACATTGTGTCCTGATTTGATAAGAATTGATTTAAAAATTAGTAGGAATAGTAAATAATTTCAAAATCTGCTTCTTTATATGATGACACTTCATTCTGTGATAGTTTCTTCCCCAAAATACTGATATTTGAGTCTAATTTTGTAAATACACCAAATCAATGCAAATTGAGGGACATATCACAAAATACCTGTGTTCTTCGAATTGTCCGGTCATGAGTAAGGAAAGATTGTAAAATGGACCAGCCTAAATGAAGGAGACATGATGACTAAATGCAATATGGGATCTGAGACTGGACCCTGGAACAGGAAAAGAATGAGAGTGGGAAGACAAGTGAAATACAAATAAAGTCTATGGTTAATAAAATGGTGCCATTATTAATTGCTTAGTTTTGACCAACGTGCCATGGTTTTACTCAATGTTAATGTCAGGGGAAACTTGATGAAGGGTATATGAGAATCTCTGAATTCTCTTTGCAGCTTTTCTTAAATCTAAATTTATCCCAAAGTTAGAAAAATACTTAAAAAATAATTACCAAAGATCTAGAACATCTAAACAGGACAATTAAAACAGAATAAAAGTAATCATTGAAAGGTAATTTCTCAATCAAACAAAAACATACCAAGTCATAATTATTTGCAGAAGAATTTACCAAGCATTTCAGCAATTGGTAACTCCAATTTTAAAACTAAATTATTCAGATAACATACAGAAACTCAAAAGACACTCAAGTTCTTTTCTATGAAGTAAATAACAAAAACAACATAATCCAATTTGCATACATCTATTTCTTCCTATTTTCTAATAATTCTAAATGGACTGTCTAGAAATGACAGATGATAATAATAAGAATGGTTATCTGTGCTTTAATCTTTAATGAAAATGCTTTTAATTATTTACTTATTAATCCTGGTCCTAGTTTGTGTTTATATGATCACATTAAGAAATTAATCACATATCTGTTTTATTAAGAATAGATTTAAAAATTATCCAAATATTTAAAATTTTCACCTTAAAATTATGTAAATTTTGGTTTTGAAGCAATTGCTGTTAAGAATTATAGGTTCACTTTTATTGAATCATCCTTGCACATTTGGAAAAAAAAGTATTTATACTTTATTGCTCTTTTACCATGGTTCTATATTCTGCTTGCTAATATTTTGTTAAGTGTTGTTTGGTAATATTTTGAAATTTGTGCGTGTCTTTACATGTGTATGCATGCATACTGTCTGTCAGGATATGTCCCACTAATGTGATAAGATATTACATTTATTCTCTTTTAACTTATCTCCTTCTCCTTAACTAGTAACAAATCTCCAGATTTTGCAGACCTCTTTAAAATGGCACCACGTGGTAAGTAATACTCAAAGACAATAATGTAATTGAAAACTTATGAGGAAAAAATAACTTCTTTACTCTCTCCATTTCAAGTCTATCATACTTAATATTCAACTGCTTTTAGCTTTTTTCTCCCTGAAAAACCACTTTTTTCACCCTCATTTGCCACTGGAAATGACCTCCCACACTAATTTAAAAAGATAAAAGTTTTTCCCTATCACATTATCTTGCCCCACCTCCATCTCCTGGTCTTCAACAATCTAAATCCTTCCTTCCATCTTTACTGTGGAAATTCTTCCCAACAAATGGGGTCAGATAATGACAAGATGTTATGCCATAAGTGGACAAAAAATGAAAAATATTTTTCTCTGTTCACAGCTCAATCTTAGAGAAATAAAGACAGAACGGAGGAAGGGAGCAAGGAAAGAGAGAACACTCTTACGTAACCACTGAACTAATAGGGAGAACAGCTAATACATCTAAAACATCTGAAACGTGTTAGGCTTGTTCTGAATATTTTAATCTTATAACCCATTTAATGTTCGCAATGGCCCTACAGAGTAAATACACTATGTCCCCACTTGTCAAATAAGTTAACGAAAACAGGAAGTGACCTGTCCAGGGTCATATAGGTTCCAAGTGACAAGGCCAGGAAACAAACCAGCAGAGTCTTGTTACAGAATCACTGTTCTAAGTACCAAGCTATGCTACGTTGACCCTAAGATCCAGGAGTTTGCCTTCTCTGAAGATTAACAAAGAATGTAAAATAAATGGTGAGTCTAAAGATTTTTAAATCAACAGGCTTCAGCATTGATAATGGGGGTGTTTTATTAACCAAAAGAGAGGGTATGATTCCACCAACTTTGGGAGTAGTTGGTAATTTATCCTGACATCGCCTGCAGTGTTCTCAGTATTCAGCCCTGGCAGTGTCACAAGAACACCAACAACAGTGTCGCTCCTTCAGTCAGGCACCACCACAGACCGGAAGTCCAAGACACAAGGGTACTGGATCTCCAAGTCTGCCTGTCAGATTCCCTGTTTTTCTAAACTGATACTTGTTATTGTCAGGAAAAGAAGACATTTCTTTTAAGACATGAAAGAAAAGATGCAGGCTCATATAATATCCCAGAGGGCCACTCCAAGGCTCCCATTGGGTATATTCAGTATTGTTTGGAAAATACTAGAGAAGACTTCAATTCCCTCAGAATTTGAATAGAATTATGATAATTCAATTTCCTCCACTGGCTAAGGTGGCATCACAACCACACATTATATGTATGTGATTAGAAATATCTAGACTCAAGGAGAGATTTACTAGTTAAGTTGGCATGATTCCAAATTTTCTGGTCAAGAATGACAAAAGATATTGAACAAAATTTCAGTGATATAAGAGATGTATACAAAGCAGATGGTGAGCTTAGAGCAGAAAGCTAAAATAATATAATAGCTTAAGGTTCACCAGACCGATCCTAAAGCTAATACTATATACTATATTACTAAGTACAGATTTCCAGAAGTATGACCATTTTATCATGTACTGTGGATTTCCAATGAAGATCCATAATGACCAGGAATTAATTGAAAATGAAATAAAGGGGAAACTTAGCCATATGGTAAAACTAGAATGATAATTATACTTCCTCATAGGAGTGCCCAAACATTCTGGGAACTATGTGGAGCTTTTTTTTTTTTTTTTAATATTCTGAAAAATAACCTAAAGTCTCATTGAGGTGAAAATCCCTCCTAATTCCTGTAAGTGGAGATCCAGTTCATGTATGTTAGATAATCCTTACTCTCTATCAATATGTACGCTGGCTTTTGGCACTAGTTAAATACTAGTAGTACATACAGAGCATGCGAAAGCAGGCCTGGAAAAAAGAACAGGACATGTTGCCATTGGTGAAACAACAAAAAATGTGATGTCAAAGTGTTATCGGTGGCACAATAACCTGGCCATAGAATTACAGTAACAAATTTAGCTCCATGGAAAAAAAGAGAAGCTGTAACTAACACAGAGCAAAACAACAGTTCATATCATAACAAATGAACTAAATAACAGCAAGTTCCAGCGTTGAGTTCACTTAAAAAGGTACTTTTCAATCCCAGCCTTGCAATTGACTAAAAGGTTTTTTTTTCCCAATCCTGATGTCTGGTCTTTAGTATGAATCCATTAAAGCCAAATCTCTGAAAGGGTGGGCAGGAAATCAAAATCAATGTTTTTAAGTCCTTTTACTGCCAATTTAAGGAACAATGGCTTAGATTTTAAGAATTGCAAATTTATTTCTAAGGACTTAAGTCCAATGAAAATCCGGTATATAAGAAAAGCTCCCGCTAAAGCAATAAGTCTCAAAGGATTATTTTTCTATAGAAATAATATGTTCTATTAGTTGTTGTGCAAGGAAATAGGGACGAGGGATCTTCTGGTCAAAATAAATGAAAATGGTGACAAAGACCTTTTCTTTCAAAATAGTCAAATCACCATGATAGTTCTATATCACAGTAAAAGGCATATGCCAATAGAAGACTTTATGTTCTCTGTGATGAGAAGTGATGTTCTCTCTTCTAACAGTGATGTTCAATGTGCTGACGTGCAACATAGAAAGAATTCTCTTAAAAGTAAATACCATCATGTTTAATGATGTTAGGAAGTGCTTTCCGGAGAGGGAGAGTTTGAGAATGATTCATGTTCCATTTCCCAGGAAGCTCCTAACAAGTTGCTTATGTCTAGTAGGGAAATGCCATTTTTAAGCTCAGACCCACATCAGGAAGTTTCTCAAACAGTCTTAATCAGTGTGGAGTAGTTTACCAAGATGCTATCATCTAGATAACTTAAATGATAGCTATTTACTTTACAACTGTTCTTCAGGCTAGGAAGTTCAAGATACAGAGTACAGCAGTTTCAGGTAAGGTTCTTTTCTTGGTTTTTGAATGACTTTCTTTTCCTGGTGTCCTCACGTAGTGGACAGAGAGAAAGCAAGCTCTTCTGCGTCTCTTGTTATGGGGTTGTACCCTCATGATCTCTCCAACTAACAAAGGGTCCATCTCCAAATAACATTCCCCTGTTGATTAGTCTCAGCACACGAATTTTGAGGGAACACACATAATCCACAATGTAGAATTTTATTAGACAGATAGGTGGCGCTGTGCATCAAGAGAGCGTTCACGTCCCATAGAAACAAAACAAAAACCCCTAAAATTCAACATTGGCGTCCCAGCAGCTGCACGTAGCAAATAGAAAGGGTATTTCTTAGGTGATAAGGAGTTAGTGTGCCTTAGAAGGAATGAACCACCATTGAAATACCATTACTGTACAGCAGTATCTAAAAGAAAATTTTGAGTTATTTCAGAAGTAGACATTGAGTATTTCTAAAAAAAAAAAAAACAAAAAACAAAAAAAAACATACGGACTTAATACGAGAGAGGAACCTTGACACACAGGCTTGAATAAACAAGAAAAGGGGCCAAGCAGACTTTTTACACTTCTCCAGTTACTTGAAGAATTAGAAATTCTTACTTCTCATTTATTATCACCTATGTAATTATTATTACATTCGTTTGTTTTCTCACATCACAGTTCATTTTGGTAAAGTATTTGATCTCTCCCATGAGGTTAAAAAGTTAGTTTAGACAGCTGTGCACTGACCTGTGATTCTCATTCAATAGTGTGAACTAAGGCATTCTCCCAAAAGGCCTGACTCAGTGATATTTTTATCAGGAGATTCTACAGTGAGTAATTAGCATGTAACAGCTATAGTGATATACAGAAGAACACTCGTGAAGCACCTTCCTAACAAAATTTTCCCTAGAATGGCTAATTACATTAACACATTTGGTTGCAAAAGGTCATCTTTCTGTCCAACATGCTACTGTAGATCTAAATCACTATTCATTTTCATCACCTCCACACACTCTTGGGCAGGTACTTCTGTTTAGTTTAATCCCTTTGGCCTCTGTAAAAGGGAGACCTGCCCATGATATTGTGCACCTCCCAGTCTAATTTTTTGATCCTTTCTGTTCCTGGTTCTTATAGGACTACACAGCATCCAGCCTACTGGATGCATACTCAAGCATGTTGAGTCACCAAGCCATGATTCTATCCATGAACTCCAGGTATCAAAAGCCATGATTCTCTTTTATTTCACTAATTATATTTAAAGAGTGATAGATGAAAGTCACAACTGAAAATAAACTATTACTGCCAATTCCATACCTTAATTCAGCAACTATTACTTCCTTTCTTATGATCTTTCCAATCTATAATCCAATTATCAAAGAATCATAAACAAGTCACACATTCAATGTCCTGTACTATTTTTGACATTGTTTTATATTACATTTTCATTTTATAATGACAGTATATTCCCAATTTTTATTTTTTCGAAATTATATTTTACCAATATTATAGCAATCATCTTTGAATACAAAAGATTTATCTTCTCTGAAATATTCTGAGTGGGAAGGTTCTGGTTTAGATGACATGCAACTATGAAAATACCTGCTGCTGTATTATTTTACATGTAAAGATTTATGCTTGCATAATTTAGTGACAAATACATTTTATTTGTTTCTATTATACCCAATTAGTAACATGTTTCTCTTTTTTTTTTTTTTGACTAATGGTGTCATTCTTAATTTTTTAAAAAGATTTATTTATGCATACAAGAACTGGGGTACAGGCCAGAGATGATGGGGATGCAGGGGTGAAAGGATTCACCAGAGACAGAGTGGGAAGCAGAACAGGCAGATGTACTGAAATACACTGCTGAGGGGAGCAGAAGGCAGTACAGGAGAGATGTGCCATGCCATGTGGGTCATCTCCCTTGCAGGGATCAAACCCATGCTGCAGTGGCTTCTGAAAGCTTCATAGTGCTGTGCTTTAACCCATTGTGCCACCAGGAGGGCCCTGTCTTTCTTAATTTTATAGTTTCTACTTTAACTTTTTTTTTTTTTTCATTTTAACTCTTAATTGAAAATTGCCACTGAGGATTAATATATTTATTATTATCCCTTTTTCTCACTTTGTAATGTATCCATTTTGTTTAGACCCTTGATTTGTTTCATTATATTTCAGTTCTTTTAAAGTCTTAAGTTATAATTCAGGTTTTTTTTTTTCATTGTTAATGAGAAAAATTCTTGATAGGATTGAGTATTATATTTTAAATTTTTTAAATTTTTCAAAGGGATTTCTCATTGTACTATTTATATAATGAGAACACAGATTCTGTTAACTTTTGAAACTGTCTATGACTGAGTATCGATAAATTTTGTCAGTACTTCATGGTAATACTTGTTCTATCATCACTCAATAAAAATTATTTCCAACTATGTATTAATTATATTTAAAAAATTGTCTACAGAATTTTTGTCTTTATCTACCTACACTGATAATGGACAGCTTAAATCTACTCCTGTAACTGTTTCCATTTCTTCTTATATTTTATTTAATGTTTCTCTTCGTGTCTTAAGTAATTTTCTTTAACAATTTGTTTTTTCTTGTAGGCTTAATGAATTTTATAATCTGTGTCTCCTAATTATTTTTTAGCATTTTTTAACTTTGTTCCTCTGTGGTTTGGGAGGTTTCAGTCACAATATTTTTTATTACTGTGTCTTTTATTATTTTGTAATAATTGTGTACTATTAAATACTTTTTTATTTGAATTAAAAATTGTGTCCTACTAAGATGGCCCTCCTGTTTTATTTCTGATGAGCTTAATATATTTTCCATGCTTTTTCAGAAGATCGACTTTCTTTTAACCAATTGTGATTCTTGAAATTATACTTGCAAAAATACATTTTTCTAGTTGTCTTACATAAGATGTATCACTTTATACTAAGAAAAATTAAAGAATTTCCTAGTAATTTTTGGTAGATTTGTTCTACCTCTATTTTTCACTTTAATATTTGAAAGAAATACTCAAAAAATTAACAAAAACAAGGTCAAACAGCATTTAGTGGGAATTTGTATTTTTCCCCTCAGGACTCTATGCTACCTGGTTGTACTTAGACTATCAAGAAACATTTACACCACAATTATTAATTCTAAGATGTCACTGGTTGTAAAACATATTGGTAACATAATAACTGCTCTTTCAAAATAAGCAATTTAGACGATAAATGTATACATGCTGACAGCTGCCCATATATATATATGACTTTCCTCTTTAATATCACTTTTATCTCACCAATGATATTTAACTTTTAGTCTTCTTTACCTTTAGAATTTAAAGATCACTTTTCAATCAACAGTTATTCACGGAATCAGCATATCATTCTACCTCCCTAATCCTGTGCTTACCTTTGGCCATTTTAGCATTTTTAGTACTGGCAATATGATTTCAAAGTACATGAAAAGACACTATCTTCTGTTTCATCAAAATTTTAATTTATATTTTCCTAAACCAAATCATAGAACCTGGAATTTGGTATTTTCCACTGAAAACTCTACTGAAAGTATTTGATAAACAGTTGTTTGGAGTCTAATAACCCATTAGAGACATGAGTAACTTAAATAAATCTTTCCAAGATTTGAAAATAACATCAACCCCCAGATCAAAACCATATTGTTCAAGGGTAGACTGTGTATTTCAGGAGATTTTGTTTCAAGTAGTAGATTTCCAGTAAAAATCACAGAAGTTCATACCATCTATACACCTTCTTTAAATTCTTTTTCAACTTAAAAAATTAAGAATCTAGATCACACATACCAAGGAATAACAATGGCATTATACTTTATCTTTTTATCTATTGACAGGTAGTTTTCTTTTACAATAGGATGGAAGAGGTATCCCAACATTAAAATACTAAAATGTGAAAACAAGTATCACTGATCAGAGAAAAAAGTGGCAGAAATATAGTTCAACTACATTAGCATGGCTTTGTGGGCTTGGATGGATATATAACTACTGTTTACATTATAATATCTAAATAGATTTCCGATGTTTAAGAATCTGATAACTGACCATTTTTACAAAGACTTAGTTCCTTTTTACTTCAAGCATTTTATGTGAAGCCATTTAAAACCCATGCATTATATAAAGCCAAATTCTTGTTTTTAATTTCTGATATAGTGTATCCTATCACTAGGAAAAGTTACTAACATTAAATTACATTTGTTCTCTCCTCAAGTTAATAGTAGCACATTTTTCTTGTCAGCTTTGTGGATCCCTTACTGCAATTTAAATCTCAACTGAGTATAATAGAGTCATCCTTTCATATAGTGTTTTCTATGCCAAGTATGGACAAAGTAATAGCAATGGGGAAAAGTGAAGATGATGAAGAGGACCTGGAGGTATGATTTTTTTTTCTTTGAATTGTGAGTCAAACTGCTGTTCATCTCAGGCACCCCAGAGCATCTGAATAACACACACACACACACACACACACACACACACACACACACACATATATGTTTAAAAGAAACACAATGTTTACTTAACAATAACTTTTTTTCTGGTCTAATTTTTTTTCCCATTTTTATTTGTATATTTTTACTTTTTTTTTTTTTTTTGGTACAATGAACAAAGGTGTTATCCCCATAAATTTACCACCACCAAGATACTGTGAACTGTCACCATGGACTCTTGTGCTCTTCCCTCTGGTGTTGATCCCTCTCCCTTCCACTCCCCTGCTGAATGTCTCAATTTAGAGTTTGCCTGCTAGTTTTGCCTTTTTATTTTCCTGACCCCCTATATAGTTTCCCTATCTTCCTCCTATAAGTGAAGCCCTGCAATATTTTCTTTATCCTTCTGACTTATTTCACTGAGCATAATCCCTCTTAGCTCCATCCATGTTGCTGCTAATGGCATGAGTTTATGATAGCATTCCATTGTGTATGTATACCACATCTTCTCCATTGTGTATATATGCCACATCTTGACCCTGTCATCTGTTTGGGGGTATTTAGGTTATTTCCACATTTTAACTATTGTAAATAATGCTACAATGAACATAAGAGTGTGTATTTCCTTTTGAATTAATGTTTTTGTATCCTTTGGTTAGATTCCCAGGAGTGGAATTGCTGGTCATCTGTTGGATCCATTTTTAGTAATCTGAGGGTCTTCCACACAGCTCTTATAGTGGTTAGACCACTTTGTACTCCCACCAGCAATGTGTAAGGTGAACAGGCTGTTTGTTGTTTTCTCTTACATTATTTTTAAATATAACACATACATAGTATTTTACAGCAGTAATCTCTACCTCTTCAATTCCATAACCTGTGAATTTAACTGATAGCATGAGATTTATAAGAAAAATGGATTGTATGGGATTTATAAGATCTTAGCAAGGGTTAGCAAGAACAAGGCATTTACTAGCAAGTGGTGGGGATAAGAGTCTGATAGTGAGGTCAATAGCTTCAATAGTTTCTTTTTGTTCAACATAGCTAGCTACACAGTAAACTTGCCTTTAAAGTGGAAAAGCAATTCATTGTCTAGGGTGTTAGATGATCACCATAGAACCTACCTTCCTTATCTTTAGTTTATGGATACAACTTAAGATACCAGAATGCAAAAATGCAGACAGCAAGTACAATTTTATCCGAAGCTGGTTGATTAGCCAGTTGTATATTTTTTGTTGTTTTTCAGAATTTATACCAAAGTATTTTAAACATCTTTGAGGACACTCTTCTGGTCTTAGTGTCTAAAGACCTCTACAAACTGCAACTCTTAAAGGTAAAGAAAAATGAAATCACTTTCTTTTATTTGAATTAGAGAAAATGTAGTCCTAGGAGAACGGCATCAACAGCATCAACAGGTCATGAAGCCAGGTGAGAAGTGGCAGCATGAGCGTGAACAGGGGGTGGGATAGCAGAGAAGAGTAGGGATTGGCTGAACTACCTCAGATCCATGTAGCAGCGAGCCACAGTGTGGTGGTGTCTGTGTGCGTGCTTCTCCCTCAACAACTCTGGGGCTCAGGAATCCCGGGAACCTCCTATCTTCATGGATACTGGCGTATGGGAAAAGGTTGGATCCTCTTCTCATACTGTAAATATTAAAGTGTAAGATGAGGGTCCTTGTTCCACACATCCAGGTCCTCACTGTGTTGTTAATGCTCCAGCCAGAGACAAAAGACTGCTCTGTGTGTGTTTTGGTTTTTAAATCTTATGTTTTTAACATGGTAACACAGGAAGCAGTTGTCTGATAATTCTAGGGAACAAGATTGAATTTACACTATCAGGAGTATCTATGGTTTGTGTAAAACAAAAGATATGTTCAAATAAAGAAGAATAGGTATTGATAAAGACAAGAAGGAATGTAAAAGAAAATGAATCTTGTTTCTTAAATAAAATATTCTCATAGTCTTAAAAAAAAATAGAGGCAATGTGAAGGAAAATAAAATATTCTGTGCTAACTTGGGCCAAATTAAATCTAAAGTTTCCTGTGCATTTTGAAAAAAGTTAACTTTTCAACCCTTTAAAAAGTTAATTTTTCAACCCTTTAAAATAGTTATTACTCCACTATCACAACTCTTTCCAATTATCCACTTTTCTTTTTTTTAAGATTTATTTTTATTTGTGCATACAGAACTGGGGCACAGGCCAGAGGCTCAGGAGGCAAGAGGTTTCACCAGAGACAGAGTGGGGAGCAGAACAGGCAGACCGAGGAAGTACACGGCTGAGAGGAGCAGCAGGCGGTCACCTTCGGGGCAGGCAGGAATCAAACTCGTGCGGAAGTGGCTTTAGCTTCTCAGTGCTGTGCTTTAACCCGCTGCGCCACCAGGGAGGGCCCCAATTATCCTCTTTTAACCAATCTAAGCTTCTCACTGATTATTTCCTCTATGTCAGAAACTACGTTGAATATAAAGATGTGAGATAACTCACTCACTTCTTAAATTAATCCTATAAACAAATTACTATCATTCTCCCATTTTTGTAGAGAAGAAAATGGAAGCAGAGAAAGGAGCTATATTATGTGCACAGCTAATAACTGAAGGACCTAACTTCAGAACTTAATACTTTAACACCTTGTTGCTGTCCTTACTTTGTCTAGAAACTCTCCTACTCATAAAAAAAAATAACTGAAATCTCACTCCCACAGATACTGATATCCCCACCGATACACAGAAGGGGCAAATGAAGGAAAGAGATTTGGCTAACCACTGGCATACATGCAATGGACACCAGAGAACTGCCTTTAGAATTCTGTTAATGGTTGGCATGTGAGGGACATGCATTTACAATTCCTTTCCAGGGTTATAAACATGTCCCTGAATTGGAGGGTTTAGAACAATTGGAGGGTTTAGATAGAAGTTATGACAAGACAGATAGGAATCAAAATTATCAAGAATTTTCTAACCAAGCTGCCTCCAGGAATGTACTCTGCAATCATGAGCCAGAAAATTCTGGATGGCAAGTTTCCAGAGGAATTTCTAGGAGCAGATGACATTTTAAAATCAGATGACATTTTAAGTCTTTTTTTAAAAAACTAAAAATCACCTTCTGTGACTTAAAATAAAAGAATATGAATTTTGTGAGGAAAAGGAGCTGAAAATCCCAACATAGCCTCATGTTAAATTCTTCATGATCCCTGACAAAGTGACTTCCATAGTAAACAAATGTGTAGAATTAAACAAAGCAAACTCAGGTGAATCTAAATAACCAAACTCACAGAAAAGAAATAGACTGATTGTAGTTGCAAGGGGAAAGAGGGAGATGGGAAAATGAGTGATGGTCAGACATCTGGTTATGAGATGAATAAGTTCTGTGTCACATATACTTGAATGTTGCTGAGAATATATCTTAAAATTTCTTGCCACAAAAACTAATTGCTGTTAGGTGAGTCAATGGGTATATTAACTAACTTTATGGTAAACATTTCTCAATGTGTACGTGTACATGCCTTAAATTAAATTATCAAATCAACATGTTGTACACCTTAAACTTTCACAATGTTATATGTCAATTCTATCTCAGTAAAGTTGGGGCAGGGGAAAAACCAAACCCAGGTATACATAATGCAGCAGATCAACTAGTCCACTTGATGTTTGTTTCATTTGTGAGATAAATGTAGGTTAGGTGTGAAATAATCAAAAAATCATGGGGCTCTTGACATGGTGATGCTGGAGGTGAGAAGAAAGGAATTTGTGGAAATGGACACACATGGTTTTAGGATGATTCTTATGTTTTCAACAGGAAATGATCACATGGATGAATGAAGATAAGTCGTATATGCAGGCTCGAGTTGTGGCGATCATCAGCAGGGTGCTAAGTTTTGCCTCCAGAAAAGTGAGAGAATATGTAAGTTGGAGAGAGCCACCTGCTTTGGGAGGCTGTTTTTCTGTATTTTCAGGACTTTAGACACTTGTCTGTAGTACTGTGCTAGTAGGTGGAAGTAGTGGAAACAGATTCACCATCCGACATGGCTGTCAATCAAAACAGAGTTTTTCAAACAACCGATTAAGGTGCCTCATCCTTTCCATAGACAGTGTGAGTGTCAAAACCAAGCTTTACTTGACTCTGGATTCTCTGTGGAGCACATCAGTGTTAATTGTGACCCTTACAAATTCTTCCATCCTTATTTTTTTCCTTTTCCTAAAATTGTCTAAACCATTGTTTATTTACCTTTATTTTACACAAGTAATTCTTGAGTGGTTTTATTGGAAAACATGCTAGAGGTAGAGCAGACATCTTCCAGCCCAGTGCCCACCCTTAGCCATGTCTGTCACTGTTACATGTGTCCTGCCAAAGAGCTTTCTACCTACATATCCTCATTCATGCACTAGTATACAACTTTACCATTCAGTGCTTCCTTGCTAAAGTTACATCATATCTGCATATGATTCAGCACTGGCGATGGTATTTGAACAATATGTCCCACTGGTGTCTGTATGTCAATCTGTGTGTCATATTTTGCTATTCTCATAGTGTTGTTGTATTATAACTTACTTCACCATTTTGGAGTTGGAGGACATTGAATTACATTTTCATTTTTCTACCTCAGACAATAATAAATAGCCATCTTTGTGCAAGAATGTACTTAGAAATACTTAGAAAGATTCAAAAGTGTGACTAAATTCAGGAGTAAATGCACAGTTGTCCTTCGGTTTGTTTTGCTATAACTACTACAGTGTCCATGTCCCCACCTCATCACAAACATTGCAATATTATCAGACTTTTTAGTTGTTGCCTTTCAGATAGAAAACAAATATGTGTGTTGCAATGACCAATGTTTACTGAACTTTTCTGTATTTTGAAAGACATTGCTGCCTGCCTTCCAAGAAACCTGACACAGGCCATGAGACTCTCTCTCATGGGTACTCTCTGTTCAGCCTCTGTTTCACAACTCCTCCTTCACTGTGATTTTTAAATATCTGCCACTAATTATTTATCTGATTGATTGAGTCAATTAGGAGTTCAGAATAAAAAGGGAGGTCATTATATGGTATACACAGTCATCAATGATGTTGCACATCTAAAAATTATATAATATTATAAACTAGTGTGGTAACTCAATAGAATTTCATTTTAAAGGAAAGGCCAGAATCATGTATCTGTGATGCCATCTTCATCCACTTCTGTTCATGCTGCTATCAGTATCCATTTTCAACTACTTGTATTGTCTCTGGATATTGAGACAAAAAGCCTGGATTAGACTTATTTGAATTTTTATCTTGTTATTTGCAATTAGCTTTGGAACATGCTATAATTTACTTACATGGGGAAATACAGTGCATGATGTTCTTTGCATCACAGATTCTGTATTTTAGTGTCCAAAAGAGAGTCTATGACTTGATTAAATGTTCTGGTTCCCTGCTCCAGAAAAATAGCTGCCCTCTATTTCTAAAATGACTCAGGTTATCCATGCCAATGTTGAAAAAGCTCATCATAGAAAATGTGCAAGTGAGGCCTAAAGATTATCTGTAACTCACCATCAAGCTGACCTTTTACATAATCCCTAACACATTTTACACTGTCAATCAGTGTAAATGCTCTTATGCTTGTGGTATATGTGGTTTGTATTTATAACTTACATATAATATATAGAGAGATATATAAAATTATATAAATATATACTCCCAATGAGTTCTACTTAGGTAGCAAATAAGACATAAAGACATCTGAATTTCATTTTATCACCTTTTCTCTTTTGATTACATTCTCCTTTGAACACAGATCTCTGTTCAACTCTGAAAAAATAAATATATAAATTGATATGTGTAGCCAAAGTCTCTCAAACATTGTTGAGGGTTCCCAGTAACAATAGATGCATTTGAGAAACCAAATGGAATAATCTATTACTCTGTTCTGCAGTTTTCCCCAAAGCCACCAGGTGGAAGCACACCAGCATTTTTCAGAACATGAAAATGCAAGGTTGTGCCAATCAGCTCATCTTAGTCTTAAGACACTTTAATCTTTATTAAGCTAACTTTAGAGATGGTTAAGTCAATAATATTAATGACAGAGGAGAGACAAACACAAACTAAAACAATAAAAATATGCTTAACATTAAAATCATCTCTAAAATGATGTTATGTTATAGCATTAATAGCAAGAGATGTTGCCAAGGATTATTCCTTTGGCATATCACCATTTTAAAGAAACATGCAAGATTTTGAGTCAAAAATAACAGATTGTCCATATGCATTTTATCTCTACTCCTTCAGAGTTCTCACAAACGGATAGTAGTGAAATCCATTGAAGATATAAATCCACAACAACAACGAGAATTACTAAAGAATTGTCATGAGATGGCAAAGCCAACAAATTTCTGGATGACAGAATAAGATTTAAACAGAACTGGCAAAGTGTGGTGGGAAGATGAAAAGCAGGGCAAATGGCCATGGGGATGGGTGACAGCTGGAAAGGGAGGCAGTTTGCCCTGTGGGAGACTGCAGAAGATGAAGCTATGGTAGCCCAAATAATGACTACGAGTTGGGGGGGGGGGGTAAAAGGAAGGCTGAAAGTGTGCATTAATTGAAATTATTCATTGAGAGTTTATACAAAAGAACTATTGCCTCCTGTCCCCCTTTCCACATTCCCTGTGTCTCACAGGGATAGTAGAACAATGGCAGGCTAATTTCAAGGGCATTTTTTTCTCAAACTGTTGTAAATTCCCTGAAATAAAAATAACCTGGATTCTGTTGTTTAGCATGCCCCACCCCAAAATGCAAATTGAATGCAAATGTCGCCAATTGACAAGCCTTGCTTACAAACAAAGCCTCAGCAAGAGTAACACTTCTTAAACAGAACTAGAACAGCAAGATTTGGCAGACATTTAATAAAACCCTCCAGCCCAAAGTAAATAAAGAGGATACAATCCCTAACAAATACAGATAGTTTAAGATACATAGAAAAGCCCAGTCTCTAGAAGATTACAGAAGAACTATTTACACACCAAAAAGAAATTTAGTATAGTGAGCATGGCCTATGTATTTATTGTACACTCTTACCAAGAGTAAGACCACATTATTGATTTTCAACTTTTTAAGATCTATCTATAAGCTGCTTACAAAAATGCAAATACATTACTAAATGTAATACAAATGCTGTGAACTTATTAACAATGAAAAATGAAAATGAGAAAATAATTTAGTGGTTCTTCAACAAGTTTAACATTGAATTACCATTAACCCAGCAATCCTAGGTATATACAAAAGAATTTAAAACAGGGGTTTAAAAAAAAATTATACCAAAATTTTCATAGTAGTATAGTTCAAAATATTCACAAGGTATGTGCACCCAAATATCTATCAACAAATGAATGTACAAATAAATGTGGTTCATATGCTTACAATGGATTATTATTAAACCATAAAAGAAACGAAGCCTGATATAACCTATAACATCAATGAACCTTAATAGCATACTCATGAAAGAAACTAAAGACAAAAGGCTACATATTATATTGTATTCCATTTATGTGAAATAACAGAATTTCTGGTTGCCAGGGAATGGAAAGAGAGTCAAATGAGGAATGACTCTTAAGTAATAAAGGGTTTGTGCTTGAAGTGATGAAAATGTCCTTAAAGTAGATAGTGGTGATGATTGTTAAACACTGTAAGTGTGCTTAATGTTGTTAAATTATATAATATAAATTTTTAAATGGTATGCTATACTATGTATGTTTTTACTCTCTATATAAATTAAATATAGGCAACAGAAATAGTGAAGTAACAGTGCTAGAAGGAAGCTGAAGGGAATAAGAGGGCTCGAAACTACTTTATAAATTGGAGGAGCAACAAGAAATCTTTATTATATCCTGAAACAAGAAATAAAAGTATTATGCTATTATTAAATCACAACAGTAAAACTACTAAGAACAGTATCATACCGTAATGGGTGATATAATACTATACTGGGAGGACTATGGCAAAATGGAAGGATGTAACTAAGCTAAACCCTGTTTGATCACAGTAGAAATGGATAGATAATGTCCTTAATAATGTTAGCACAGAAGAGAAAGTCCATTGTTTATAGAGAAAGGAGGTGACATCCAGAAAAAAACAGCCAAAACACTTAGAAGTGCTTGCCTCTGGAAATGACCACTTAAACTTATAATTTTTGTTAAGGTAAGAAAACCAAGAGGCCAGATCTTTGTATTGGTAGAAGGATCCAATTAGAAAGAGCCATAAAATGAGAAGCCGTGAAAAAGCAAAGCCATATTGTGTTGAAAGTCTTTGTGTTTAAGGGGGCATCACTGTGTCTGGCTCCCTTACAAAGGCTCTTCCATGGGTACCATGGTTCACTCTGTCTTGCACCTCTATTCCTGGGCTTCTCCTACCCCTGCTCAAACACTCCATACAATCCAGACATGGTCACAGTCACTCTGCTAGAGACACACATCTAAACAGACCTTATCTGGAAACAGAACAGAGATCCCTGGTAGCTCCATTTACAAAAACCTCTGCTAAGAAGTATACATACACAAGTTCATAAGAAGGCATCATCAGAGAGGATTTCAAGGTAAAAGTTACCATACATTAAAACTCTAAGGCCAATTCCCAGGCAATGGTCCCCGGCCACCATGAGCTAAGATGTGGGTACAGCTGCCCAAGAGAGAAACAGAACCCTTGCCTTTGTGTTAGGCACAAATGCAGTGGTGGCTGGTTCTTGAAATCTTGCCATTAAATGGAAAAGGAACTCTATAGAGTTCAGATCCACAAAAGAGAACACCCAGTGAAAGAGCATTTCTTGCAACCCTTGGGATTCTTGAATTAAAGGGTGCCTTAGCCCAGTTTTAAAAAGGAGTATGGGCAGAAAGAGCAATCTACAAACATCCATAGAAATAAGAGTTCTTAGGTTTTTTTAGATTTTCCCTTCTACCGAGAACATCTCTTCCACCATTATAATTCAGTGGTGTTCCTGTCCCATGGCTAAAATCATTTCACATTCTTCTTCAGGAATGATTTTGTGTGTGTGTGTTTCTCTGTGTCTAGTATGTGTGTGTGTGTGTGTGTGTGTGTGTGTGAAAGAGAGAGAGTTGTGGGTGGGTGAAGGATAGGAGGCATGAGAGAAGATAGAAACAATAGAGAGAAGGTAGAAAAAGGTCGACACGGGTACTGAGATTCACCTAGAAGGTTGACTTGGACAGCACTTTTACTGCTAACATTTCTCTAAACATCATCGTTTTAAGAACTGTAGTCACTTGTTTTGGAGTCAAGACAACTGAGCAGGGTCCTTTTTTTGTTAAAAAAAAGTACATGTTAAAGTACTCACACAATAGTAAAAGAAAATATCTCTTTCTCGTCTCTTCTTTTTCTCCATTACCTAAGTATTTGAACAGTTAATGTTAAAGAATATATGGGGAGAATTACATAAATGTTGCACTAGTAGCTTTGACATCACAGATAAATTCATTGAATTTTTTAAAAATTTAATTTCCTTGAGAACAATCAGAACAATTCCAGGAGAGAACGTTACATTCCCTTAGTGACTTGCAGTCATAAGAATTGTTTTACACTTGAAGAAATAGAAAACATGAAAGTTACTGGTATCAGCTACTGCCCAGGTATATTGGGAATCTGTTACCGGACTCATAGATCAAATACTACTTGAGTTTTTATATTTCTATATTCTATATTTATATTTTTATAACATAGAAATTAGTTGAGTTACTATTATTTTTTATTAAGTAGCTAGGTCTTCTCTCTTTTGTCACAAATCCTTTGATCTCTACTGTAACTGTTACAAAGTAGCACTTTATCCTCATTTCATAGAAGAAACTGAAATTTAGCAGCAAAGCCAGGATTTGAATACAGATCTTGGGTGCTCTGAAGCTCAACTTCTATAAAAACAAATCTAGTCTGAAATGTACATTTGAAGATAAGACACAGGCCTTTGATGTTGACTACAAATCACAAATGCAATGTCTCTTTGTTTTTCCACTAGACAAGTGTTGATGCGCCATGTTTGGGTGTCCTGGCAACAGAACTATCTCTTTTGTGTTCCCATCCTGATTGTTCAATCACACAGCAAGCAGCCTTTGGAATGTATCACCTTCTCTGTATAGCAAAGTGCCAGAATGGTAAGAGTGACTCACCATCTTTTCTGAGGGTTACTAATAAGGAATCTTTCTTGTGGGCCCCAGGAAGACATGTCTATGGATTTCTAAATTCTGCCTGAGGGTCTATCGCTCTATTGTTTAAGTAGTGTTTTAATCTTTTTAGATTTATCAGAAATACTGGTAACAGCAAAATTGATTCTCAAGATCTACAAAGTCCTAGACTTAGAGTAGTACTGTGTTTTTACTAGGTAGAGGAAGTAGGAAGGACAAAAGAAGTTCACCAACAGGACTATAATTTCTCCTCTTTCATGGAGCATCAAAAATGGGAGGGGAAATTAGCCCAAGACTAACTATACTGCTACTCTGGCCAGCTTAAAATGGCATAAAAGAAAGACCTGAAAGCATCAGATTATTTCCAAATAATTTTAACAAAATACTAAATAATTTCAATAGATGTCTCCTCCCATAATAAACAATTATTAAAATTATATGTAATATCTATAATTTATATTATGGATATTAAAATTATCTAATTATACATCATAATGTGTTATATACATGTATATATAATTATTGTTCTCAAGCCATTGTTCATCAGAACAAATTGGAACTTTCTTGAATAACAAAGAATAAAGATTCCTGAGTAATGCACACAAATTAGCAAATGAGATGAACTTATAGTTGCCTATTTTACCACCTACAGTAAGTTTCTAAACTGCAGTCTAGAAAGGGGCAACTCAATGATCTCACCAAATTGAGCTAGAAATGGGAATTCAGAGAAGTCAAATAGCTAGAGACAATAAGACAGAGT